ATATTTAAAAGAATGTAGTTCTGTTTTTAATTGGATGACTGAATTTCAGTCATTCATTTGACTGAAAATAGTAAAGGAATGGCCTTTGAAACTTATAATCCTAGCCTCAGGATCTTTGGTAAGTGACTTGACCTTTTTGAGCTTCAGTTTCTTCATATGTTAAAAGAAAGATACAGAAATACCTACCTTATAAAGTGTGGGGGCATTAGGTGATGCAATAAACATGACTTGCCATATCCCTGTCACACAGTGCTCTATAAATGGCAGTGATTAGCAGTCATTACTACCTTAATTTTCATAGGTTACTCCCGTAGCAGTACTTTTTCAATGAATACAGTATAATTTTAACAAAGAACCTACATTTGTCTCAAGAATGAAAATTTCCCGTAATAGTAATGCTCCAAATATAGGATAAACAAAAGTAGCTAAATCCTATCTCAAAAGAAAAATGCCATAATTTGGATAAATTTGGAGTATTACTATTTTGCTGTATGCAAAAATCCTCCAAATGACCTCCTAAGAGTTAAATGTGGTATAAAAGTGAACGGAGAGGAAAAAATTATGGCAAATTTAACAATTGATTATTGAAAACTTGGAGTTGTTATCTATTCTCAACTCTAAACTAGGTTTAAATTTAACTCCCTAATCTGGATACTTGGAGACAGTATCCAGGATTATTCTGTGTACTTCTTCCTTTTCTGGCATTCTGTTAGACTTGATGTTCATTTCAGTTAAAATGCTGGGGAGGTAGTGATAATCAAAAGCATACTGTGAGACTTACTCTCCCAGAATGGCCATAATTAAAGCTAGTGGGCACACACTTCTAACATCTGCTCAGATAGGCATCAGAGAGGTAGGAGAGGCATATTTGGTGTTAGGTCAGCATCTTGTATCAAGTCTAGTGACCCACATCACAATGACAAAAACGGCTTACTAGATAGCAGCTCCCCTGTCCTCTACTCCCTCCTTCCATCATCCAGTTTTCTCTCCTCCCTGAAAATGTTGTAGGTTACTTTGCTGATTATAACAAGCAGCACTTTACAAATATATTAATTTTTATAAAATACTACTTTTCCCAGAGTACTGAAGGAAAGCTTCCCAAAGTTTTTAAAAGCTAAGAACCCAGATATCAAATTAACACAAATTTAATGATAAAGTCATGAATAAAATTAGTATCAAATGCATTAGTATAGTAAGGAGAATTATAATTAGTGTTAATGCCTGTTTGCCAATACATTATCCTGTTTTCACAATAAACCTATGAGGCAGGTATATCATTTTTGTCTCCATTCTGTAAATGAGGCAACTCAGGCATAGGGACATCAGGTCACTTGTCCTAGGTTACACAAATAGCAAATATAGCCAAGACTTAAGATTCTAGAAGTCTTGGCTTTCTAATCTGTACTTTTAATTTGTGTTTTCTGCTTCTGTGCACTACTTTGTAGGTTGCATAAGTAAGAGAATAATTCACTATGACAAGAGTTTATTCTAAGAATTAAGTACTGAGTAATATTTACTTATATTTACTGTGAATACACCAAAAGAGAAGAACCATGTCACTAGCTCTTTGGATGTACAAAGCACTTGACAAAATTCAAAAATTGATCTCTAATTTGTTTTTTAGGTTAGTTTTTATCATGCAAAGAAAATGTTTTCTCTCCATCTTATCCCCTCCTATTTTACTGTCTCACACATCATACCTAGTAGAGAAATGCTAGAATCCTTCTCACTATAGACAGGAATAAGATGTATACGCTGTTGTCACTGGTTCTGCACTTAGCAGTGCAAAAGAAGAAAGCAAAAGGAAGCACACCTTTGCTTCTTTTCCAAATCATCAAAATTTGGTATTGCAAAAACCGTAAATAGTTACAAGTCAAACAAATGTATGACAAACACCTTTAATTCATAAAGGACATTTTCAAAGCCCAGGAAAAAACAATCAGTAGATAATATCAATCAAAGACTTGTGCAAACAAAATAGAAGAGCTGGCAAGTTTAAATAAATAATCAGTTACATGCTGATTAAGAAGTAGAATACTGTTCACCTGTCTGCATAGATTTTAAATAATAATAGGTATTATCATAGATGTGAGAAGGAAACATTCTGAGATAACAGCTTATGAGAGTTTAAGTCTTGAGGACAGGTAAACAGTATTAATCAGAAGCCTTAAAAAGGTTCATACCCTTTGACAGTATCTGGGAATATTTTCTGAGGGATTGACTGCATCAGTGCACAAATATGTTTTTATGATACGGTTCTACACAGTATTGTTTATAACAAAAACTTGGAAACCTAAGTGTCCAATAATAGAAAAGAATAAAAGATTGTATATACATACAGTGGGATACTAAGAAATGATTCAATTAGTATAGATATTTTCACTGACAAAGATTCCATAATGTATTGGTAAGTGAAAGGAAAGGGGTTATCCATGGGCCGGGCACAGTGGCTCATGCCTGTAATCCCAGGTTTTTGGGAGGCTAAGGCGGGTGGATCATGAGGTCAGGAATTTGAGGCCAGCCAGGCCAACATAGTGGAACACCGGTCTCTACGAAAAATACAAAAATTCGCCAGGCGTGGTGGCACACACCTGTAGTCCCAGACTGAGGCAGAAGAATCGCTTGAACTTGGGAGGCAGAGGTTACAGTGAGCAGAGATCACACTACTGCACTCCAGCCTGGGTGACAGAGTGAGACTCTGTCTCAGAAAAGAAAATAAAAGTTATCCATGACCTAGTATCTTATTAAACACAGTGAAACAATCATGTGTTCAGGATTTATTTTATGAGGTGAAAAAACCGGCTACAAGATAGTATGAAAATTTGGATTGAAATGTAATTGTTCAGAAAGCATTTTCTAGGTTTCCTATTCTACACTAGTAATATACAGGAATAATAAGATAGAGTCCTCTGAATTCTTTATTACTTTTGGAAATAGTGCATTGTGTTCTCCATTTAGCATATTGGGAAATGGATACATAAAATAATTCTGATTTATCTGAGGTTAGTGGTACATGATTAATAACTTTATTTCAACGTTTTTTCTCCTATATCTTCCTGATGAGATTTCCTGACTCCTCTTTTTCGGCTTTGGGTCTGTGGTGGGAAAGCTGTCCTCCTATATGTACTGAATTTATGTGATTATTGTCCAATCTAATCTGGAGTGCACTTTGCTTAATTCATTTCCAATAATAGCAAGTTATTTAGGTTTAAGTGATGAATTCTGAACATACCTGTGTGTCTATGCTTCAACAAAACATCTAGCACTCACAGACTTAGCTGTGCTGAACAGTGTGTTAAAGGTTCTGATGTTAAAGGATTGATAGAACCATAGTTGCCTTGGAGGAGTTGTATGTCTAGTGGAAGAGGTAGATATAAGCACAGTTTTCAGCAGAACCAAATCTACTCAATATTTACATCTGCTATAGCATTTGCATAAAATGAGCATCATTTTAGCATCTCTTTCTGCAAGCCATAAAATATCTATTTATTTTAATTTTCTCATTTTGCACTTTTAAAAATTATTTTCTAATTAAAAATAATTTGAGGAAACAGATTTCCATAACATTTTTGAAAAATGTAATTTTCTTACTCATCTACTATTAATGGCATAATGTTTTAAAATGCTTTGCTAAAAAGGCAGCTTTAGGATTAAAGTATAATTTCTGTAATGTTAGCAGCAATAATTCAGTAAAGACTTTGATCATTCAATTTATGAAAAGCATATTACCTTAATATAATTTCTTAACTGGAAATTTAGATACAGAAATCAAATGAGTCTCTTAAAATGTAAAGTCACAGAGACAGAGAAGTCTGGAGGAGCATTTGAAGGGATTAATGTCTTACAATTTGAAACAGATATATATGTAAGAATTCATGCAAATTGTTGATCTTACATCTTTTTATTTAAAGAATTTTAGCTCGACTTACACATAAGAAAGCCTAGAGCTTGGAATAGTAGATGTCCAAATTCATGTTTATCCAGATTTATATCACATTGCAGCCACATATTTTGCTGATGATAAATAAGTTACTACTGTAAAATGTTAAACTAAGTATCCTTTTCAGCACCACATATTAATTCATAGTAAAAATTTGAATGTTACAAAGTTCCTGTGCTGCTATATTGTGTCAAAAAATATTTTCCTATCAATTTGCATATTTTTTATTATGCATTAAGCAGGTATAGTTAATATTTGAACAACCATGGATATGTATCTTTATGGTACATAAATGTTCCCAAAATAGATTAAGAGATATATGCTTTATGGAGCAAACATATTCAGCAATGTGACAAATGTGGGAGAAGTATCTCTTGCTAAAATAATACTTTTTTTAAAGTAATATGTTTTATCATTTTAAATCTTCTGATCTTTTTCTTCCATTCAAAAATGGAATGTAGGGTCACTTGTCACTCAGGACAGATTAGCATTTTTGATTAGCATTTTTTAACATAGCTTTTTGAAATAACATTAAATGCTTTTTGGAATATTGAGGGTAACTCTTTCAATGAGTGTTAAGATACTGTTGACTTCCAAAAGAGAATATTCCAGGTAGGGAACTTATTTTTTTTCTTCTGGAAGAATCAGACACAATTAAGAGACAAGTAAGCTGGGACACATTTTGAAGGTCATTTGGGAACAACTATTTTAGAAACATTTTATTGTCTTTAAATATATTTTATTGAATTCTGTTACTTCTGTCTTCAGAAAATGTTACATGAAATACAGAAAATGTGGCTGGGCGCGGTGGCTCACGCCTATAATCCTAGAACTTTGGGAGGCCGAGGTGGGTGGATCACGAGGTCAACAGATCGAGACCATCCTGGTCAACAAGATGAAACCTCGTCTCTACTAAAAATACAAAAATTAGCAGGGCATGATGGTGCGTGCCTGCAGTCCCAGCTACTCGGGAGGCTGAGGCAGGAGAATTGCTTGAACCCAGGAGGCGGAGGTTGCGGTGAGCCGAGATCGTGCCATTGCACTCCAGTCTGGGCAACAACAGCGAAACTCCGTCTCAAAAAAAAAGAAAATCTATGTTCCCTATGGGGACCTGGGAAATTAAAAACATGTATCATCCTGATAAAACATATCTCAATGGAAAAATTGGCCAAAAAAATTACTCCTTATCTCTCCAGGTTTGTATATTTTACTTCTTGTTTATTCATTTAGAGTCCTCTTCCAGTGTATGGATCACTGCAGATTCTAAGTAACTTTTCAAATATGCTAGATTTTAAGCTGTATATATTTTCTCAAGCAGAGACATCTGAGCATAGTGAAAATGAATTTGCAGAGAATTGCCAAGTATATGTGACAGAACTGTAGGGAAAAAGGGCATAACTTTAATCTTCAAAGAAGCTTAAAAATAGCTCCACAGTTATTATGCATGAGGCCTGACAGTTGACATTTCTCATTTTGGCAGCATTCACCTACAGCACCCTATCAGCAACTGAACACATTCATCTCTGGAATAAATGATTAATGAGCTACCTATCATTTCCACTCCTTTTGTACCAAGTGGTGGAGGCTTCAGTTGATCATATTGCAGCCATCAACATTATTACTGAAATTGATTCTGCCACTAGAGGGTTCTGCTAGGATAATCAATTAGCATTTAAATAAAAGAATTAAGTTATGGCATTAAAAATAACACAAAATAATCCCTTCTGAGTCACTCTGTCAGACCTGGTAATTTGGTTTTTGGCTTTTTTGCTCATCAGAGAGCATCACAAAATCTTAAATTGGGGAAGGAAGCATGGAAGGATTGTTCCTGTTTTAAAAACAACCCTCTAAGATTTCCAAACTTCCCATTCTTTTTATTAATCACTGTCCTGTTCCTTGGAATGCAGATTTATGAAATGCTACAATTTGCATTCAGTGGTGAGCAATGAAGTTGCCAAATTATTTCCTTCAGAGAAAATGCAAAAAGATAGAGTTAGGCATTTTTGATAGGTCAGAATTTATCCAGAAAGGGGGCTTAAAGGAACTAGATTTACACATGATACTGAGATACAGCAAAATAAAGCTTTTCTTATATTTCAGCAGGCAGATGTGAGAATGAGGTGATAGGAACATCATCATTTAGATGTCAGGATGACATGGGCTGCATTTCTAAAACAGATGGCAGATGATGTGGGTCTTCATAATCCTACAAAAAAGTGACAGATTGTAGTTTTGGTAAAATGATACATCCAAGGAAAATGAATGGAACTTGGAATTGCTATTTTAGCATCTCTTTCTGCTCCTGGGACCAAGTTCTTCAAGTTCTTAATATTACTGACCTTAAACTCCCTCCTCATCTATGTTCCTCTTCCAGCATGGCTTTCTTATATTTCCTCATTGTTTCTGCCCCTCTTTGAATTTGAAATTCAAATATAAAGAGTTGGTTTTATCTGCCTCTGAATTAAGACACTATCTTTACTACATTGTATTGGTCACCCAATTGAAGTGCATGTGCATTTTCTTCAGAGCTGAGACGAATTGATCATACAATGAAATGGGACTATCATAGGTCCTCAATCCAGCTTCTCTGTCCTATACTACTTGATTAATATTCTTTGCAGAGTCTGTTGGTGGTGGTATTGTAATTTTTCATCTCTTGCTGTCTTTGTGGGATTTTAAGAAGCTAACAAAGGCTGCTTTGAGAACTGCTAAATACCGGATATTTTTACCCAACATTGATCAATGTAGATGGCTAAGACTTACTTGTATTTTGAAAAATGGGAAGAAAATGGTCATAGTAAGAAGCAATGGGTGATAAGAAAAACACATAGTAACAAGATTTCTACATGTGAGCCAATAACAAACTTCCTCTATATGTTAAAATTCTTCAATGAGAAATATACCAACTCATTTCAATCACCATAAGATGGACAGGTTAGGCCAAACTGTGCTTGACCTATTGGTGAATGAATGACCACACCCTTCTTTACCTTTGGTAGCAGTGGCTCATCAATCTCCCACTTACTCTCAGATCTTTTTTCAGCATAGTATTCTAGCCAGTGTTCACCTGTTTGCCATCTTCATGTCAGTAACTGTGTGCCCTTGGTGTTTCTCAGTCATTTCTACTACAGAAAGTATAATATTTTCAAGAATAACAAAATGTCTGATTCCCTGTTTTCAGGATACCTTCATATACTAACAGACCAAAGTGACTGGACTTGGCCAATTCAGTTACAATGAATCCTTTTGAAAAATGAACCTGGTTTACCTGAGTGCTAACTATTCAGGAACAAATCTTGATCATGGCGGCCGGGCGCGGTGGCTCAAGCCGGTAATCCGAGCATTTTGGGAGGCCGAGGCGGGTGGATCATGAGGTCAAGAGATCGAGACCATCCTGGTCAACACAGTGAAACACCGTCTCTACTAAAAAAATATAAAAAATTAGCTGGGCATGGTGGCACGTGCCTGTAATCCCAGCTACTCGGGAGGCTGAGGCAGGAGAATTGCCTGAACCCAGGAGGCGGAGGTTGCGGTGAGCCGAGCTCGCGCCATTGCACTCCAGCCTGAGTAACAAGAGCGAAACTCCGTCCCAAAAAAAAAAAAAAAAAAAATCTTTATCATGAGGACTTTTTAATTTTTGAATAGGAAATTTATTCACATGTGCATTAGGTTCTCCAGAGAAGCAGAGCCAGTAGGATACACACACACAGAGACACACACACATGGAGATTTATTATGAGAATTGACTTGCATGATTACAGAGGCTGAGAAGTCCCAGCTTGCATCCTCTGCAAGCTGAAGAACTAGGACAGCCAGTGGTGCAATTCAGTCCAATACCAACATCCTGAGAACCAGGGGATCCGATGATGTGTCTCTTGGTCCAAGGCTGAAGGCATGAGAACGTGTGTGTGTGTGTGTGTGTGTGTGTGTGTGTGTGTGTGTTCAGGGGTGCTTGTGTAAGTCCTGTGTGTGTGTGTGTTCAGGGGTGCTTGTGTAAGTCCTGGAGTCCAAAGGCCCAATAATCAAGAGCTTTGATGTCCAAAAACAGGAGAAGATGGATGTTTAGGTTCAAGAATAGAAAATTAATTCTTCCTCCGCCTTTCTGTTTTATCCTGGCATTCAGTAGACTGGATGATGTCCACCCACATAGGTGAGGCTGGATCATCTTTACTCAGCCTAGTGATTCAAGTGTGAATCTCTTCTGGAAATACCCCCACATACACACTCAGAAATAATGTCTTACCAACTCTCGGGGCATCGCTTAGCCCAGTCAAGTAAACACATAAAATTAACCATCACAGCATGGCTCAAAAGTCAAGAAGTATAAAGAAAACAAAGTGATAAGCTTTCTTTTCATCCCCATCCATTATCTTCCAGTTTCCCCACCCTATCCTCATGGAGTCTGCAGTATATTGAACAGGTAGACAAGCAAGAAATTATAATAAGGTACATTCAGTCTTCTCGTTATCAGTAATTTCTGATTCAGTTTCAGGGTTCTGGGAGGAGGGTGTTACAGAATGCTGAGTTGGGAAGCTTCAATCATGAGATTTTAAAATTTATCAAAGAAGGGTTTAAAAAGATGGAGAAAATCTGAGTTAAAGGAATGAACTGCCACAGACAAAAATAAAATGGTTTCTTTCCCTACTTCTTGGAATCTCTATTGCAATAATTGCTTATGTGTGTGGCAACTTCCTGGAGGTTACTTATATAAAAATGTATCCTGAAGTAATTCAAATGTGTAATGCTAATGTTCTGTCCACGTCTTACTAAAATATGTGAGTTAAAATTAACAGTAATACTTTTGTCTGGATACTGAATCTAAGTAGAAATTACTCATTTTTAAGTTGTATTGTATATAAATGTGACATATTGTTACAATGTAATTATATGTATACAATATAAAAATGTAATATATTGTGTATATGTATAGATGTACATTTGTTGTGCAACATTGTGCAATATAATCGTAATATTTTCAAGCCCTATATGAATAAAGCTGTTATTTGCATGATTGCATCCTATGAATAGTTATGGAAACGAATAAATAAGCTTTTTAGAAACAGTTTCCAGAGCCATAAACACTTAAATATTTGTGCTTGAAGTTTCTCATCAATTCTTTAGGTGTTTTTTCCTAAAGAAAAGAATCTGCCTTTATTTTTCATGAAATCATTTTTCTATTTTGGCATACATTTCTTTTTTATTTCAAAGTCTGCAATCTTCATTATATAACCTGCAGGCTATATGAGTGAGGTAATCCACTCCCCTCTCTGTTGGAGGGGGAATGTTTTCCTGTGTCACTCTGTAATTTGCTTTGCAACAATTATTGCTATTTGTAACCATATCTTGTAATCACAAGATACATGTAGCTGAATTTAGACTCTGTTGAGAACACAGAAGGCAGCAGCAATGTTTCTAAATGTCACTGACTTAATGAATTTAACTCATAAAATTTTTAAAGGTTCAAATGCATCTACCCAAATCATCCATCTCTGAAATGTACTTTAGATAAATCCCTTAAAGTGTTCTATTATTGCAAATGGGTATCATTATGTATTAGTTTCTTTCTCCAAATCCCTGCAATTCCCTAAGCTATTTTCCAATAAGACAATGTATCAGACAACTTATCTCTAGTTCCTATGTTTTAAAATTATAGACGCTAAATGTTGTGTTCCAGATTGTTTAGGGAGTCATACCTAGAAGCATGTGGTGCCTTATACTTCTTTCTATTCTTTTGATTAAGAAAACATAAATATGTACATAACTGGTGTATTTTCCAATTATCTTAGGTGAACTTTACAAATGTATTTTGGCCTTTTGCAGGGGGCCTATTTTTCCTTAAAAAAAGTACCAACCATTCAACTTTGGATAACAAGTTATACAGAGGAGCATTATTTTTTTAAAATAAATTATCTTAGGTGTAGTTTTAGAGTTTGTATATACTCATCATTTATTTTCCCTGTATGGCTTAAAATGTATTCTTAAATTTGTATCTTAAATAGGTTTAGGTTATAATATAGAGATAAAGGAGGAAAAGCAACATAGAACATATTTTATTCCTATTGAAATGTTATTTTTATTTTTTTTATTTATTTATTTATTTATTTTTTTTGAGACAGAGTTTCGCTCTTGTTACCCAGGCTGGAGTGCAATGGCGCAATCTCGGCTCACCGCAACCTCCGCCTCCTGGGTTCAGGCAATTCTCCTGCCTCAGCCTCCTGAGTAGCTGGGATTACAGGCACGCACCACCATGCCCAGCTAATGTTTTGTATTTTTAGTAGAGACGGGGTTTCACCACGTTGACCAGGATGGTCTCAATCTCTTGACCTCGTGATCCACCCGCCTCGGCCTCCCAAAGTGCTGGGATTACAGGCTTGAGCCACCGCGCCCGGCCTTATTTTTATTTTCTTTAAAAAGGGATGAAGTGGGATATTAGTGCCAATTTTAGCAGATGCGGGGTCCAGTGACAAATGACACAGTAATAAATTGATCACCCTCTTCTACCTCCACTGGTAACTAAAGTTTATATTTTGTAAAGTCACTTTGAATGAATTTAAAATGAGAAAACAGGGAAAAGATAGAAGCCTTTACAGCTGCCTTAAATTATTCTTTGGAAACAAGTGGACTATAAATAAATGTCTCTCTCTCTCTCTCTCTCTCTTTTTGAGATGGAATCTCGCTCTGTTGTCCAGGCTGGAGTGCAGTGGTGAGATCTCAGCTCACCACAACCTCCACCTCCAGGTTTCAAGCAATTCTCCTGCCTCAGCCTCCCGAGTAGCTGGGATTACAGGCGCCTGCCACTATGCTCGGCTAATGTTTGTATTTTTAGTAGAGACGAGGTTTCATGATGTTGACCAGGCTGGTCTTGAACTCCTGACCTCAGGTGATCCACCTGCCTCGGCCTCCCAAAGTGCTGGGATTACAGCCATGAGCCACTGAGCCTAGCCATAAATACGTATATCTTACCTTGAGTTGATTTCATGACTTACACTGTGGAGAGTGAAGGAAATTGCTCTGTGGGTCAATTCCTTTAGGTCACTGAGTGCCAGCAGAAATAGTCCACAAATTCCCCTGGTTTAAGGCAATGATTTCTAATTCCTAGCTCCCTGCTTGGTTCATAGTATGTTCATCTGGAAAACATTTAGTCATTTCTGAGGAGACTCTAAAATAAGGCAACCCCTGGTCAACTGTCTGCCTTTCATAAAAGGTCAATCAAATACATGACCAACAAAGACATACATTTTTGAGCCATATGGAAGAAATAATTGACTAAATGGGACCCTGATCACTTAAAAGAATAGATGCGTCTCTTAAAAAGAAAAGTGGAGTCTCTCACCAGGCCCAATATTTTCATAATACTTAAAACTCTCAAATGCTAAATAAAAATATTAAAACATTTGAGTAAACTGTGGCACTGTTTTTGATTTTCTATAGAGTAATGATAAATTTACTTAACACAATTTAACTTTAAATAATCATGTTGTATTAAGCAGAATTAAATTAGTGAAAATGAATGTTAACATCTAAATAATAAACATTTCCTAAATGAGTAGCTAAGGTAAAAAAAATGCTAAATTATCTAGTTTTTAATTAGTAATTATTCAACAGATTTCTCCCTTCTAATTATCTTTCAAGATTCAGGTGACAAGAAACTAAGATATTTTAATGAAACCATTTATTTAAGCCCATTGTTAAATAAACTATCTTAACATTTTATGGTATAAGATTCTCACTGCCAAAATCATTGGCTTGTCTTCCTGAGTAATATTTCAAACTCCTGTGAAAAATGAATAGTTGCTTAGAAAAGGGGGTTAAGTCATAGTGTCATTTATAGCATTGCCCAAAACTGTCACTCTGCTCATATATTTTCCTTTCTTTCAACTTCCAGCCCTCACTGTTTTTTGATAACTGTTTGGAAGAGTTCTGAATTTTGCATCTTGAATACTTCACTGTTGTTCTTTACCCACCAGAGAAACAATCATGTTGAAACTGCATTTTTTTAATATGCAAAAGCCACCATATTTGTCTAAAACCTACATTCTGTAACATGTAAAGAAACAATAGTATTAAAACGATAGTTTTACCCTTGCAATCAATATGAATATATTACACTATAAATTGTTCATGGCCTACACTTCTGGTCTTAGTTAGCCATCTCAAAACGTCATGCTGTAGGTCAAATGGGGTCATAAAGAACATAAGTGGCTTACCTCAAACCAACATCACTATTAGAAAGTAACTTAAAACACATGCTTTATTAGTATTCTAGATTTAGCATCATCTTCTTAAGAAAGAAAACCTTTGGTTCCGGAATTACTAATTTTTTTTTAGCAACTGGTCAGAATCAAATTCTATGCAAATTAAATAAGAAACCAAATTGAAGTTTCACTGAATAGAACTTATAGAATTTGGTTGTTGTTAATGCTAGTGGATGTCTTTGAAACCTTAGACCAGTTAAATATTAAATAGCTAGTAAGAGGGGAAACATTTCTAGAGATTATACTAGGCTGCTGTTGATTGAGATTTCATAGGGCAGTCTTTAGACCTTGTTTATATGTATCTTCAGTAGTTAGCCCAGGATTTTTACTCAAAGTGCTTGTTAAATGATATAATGTATATTATATAAAAAGACAACCTGATTCTAGAAAAAACAAGACAACCTCAAAATTCTATAAATTTAGTAATAATACTAGTTGATCACTAAGAGCTCAACTTAACTCACCTTATGAAGAGATGCTTTCAGAGTTGTGTTTAATTTTGTCACTTTCAGATGAAAATAAACACTGGAAGATGAACACTGGAAGAACATCTGTAAAATTACAACTAAAGACAACCATATTGTAGTTCATCATTCATTCCCTACATTAGATTGTGCTTGATATTTGTTTTTTTTGTTTTGTTTTGTTTTTTGTCACTTTCAGATGAAAATAAACACTGGAAAATGAACACTGGAAGAACATTTGTAAAATTACAACTAAAGACAACCATATTGTAGTTCATCATTCATCATTCATTCCTTACATTAGATTGTGCTTGATATTTTTTGTTTGTTTGTTTTTGTTTTTTGAGACACAGTCTCAGTCTGTCACCAGGCTGGAGTGCAGTGGCATGATCACAGCTCACTGCAACCTCTGCCTCCTGGGTTCAAGTGATTCCCCTGCCTCAGCCTCACAAGTAGCTGGGACTACAGGCATGTACCACCACGCCTGGCTAATTTTTTATCATTATTATTAGGGACGGGGTTTCACTTTGTTGGCCAGGATGGTCTCGATCTCCTAAGTCATGATCCGCCCACGTTGGCCTCCCAAAGTGCTGGGATTACAGGCGTGAGCCACCACGCCTGGCCTGTACTTGATATTTCTGCAAATGTTAGTAAAAAGTTTGAGTCCTAGTGAATTTAAGGACATTAAAACTCTATAACCTATCATTCCTCTCTTTTCTCAGCTTCCCAGGAAGACTTGAGGCTAATTTCGATGCCTAGGTATATTTTGTATGTTAGGTTGGGTGATTTTGAGTTATCATTTCCTTTTTTCAATGTTTCCCTTTTTATTTTTGTAGTTTAATCTTTTTTGGAAATATGTACTGTATATTATGAATTAATATGTTTTTTATTCTCAATCCTCATTTTTCAATTGTTTTTGAGCTTTCAAAAGTGACTGGTCACTACTCCTTGAACCTTTTTTTTTTTTTTTTGAGACAGAGTTTTGCTCTGTTACCCAGGCTGGAGTGCAGTGGCATAATCTCGGCTCACTGCAGGCTTCGTCTCCCGAGTTCAATCAATTCTCATGCCTCAGCCTCCCAAGTAGCTGGGATTATAGGTATGCACTACCATGCCCAGCTAATTTTTGTATTTTTAGTAGAGGCAGGGTTTCTCCATGTTGCCCAGGCTGGTCTCAAGTGATCTAGCTGCCTCAGCCTTCAAAAGTGCTGGGATTACAGGAGTGATCCACCACACCCAGCTGACATCTTTTCTTTCTTGCCTCTCACTATATTCTTTTGGTTAACAAATATTTATTGAATATTTACTAGGTGTCAGGCACTGTTGTTATTCCTCTCCCAATTTGATCC